TCAAGGAAGCGCCGAGCTTTAGGCGAATGTAGCTTATATTAAAATCCTATAACTGGTGATGTTTCTTTGATCTATTCAGTATCGTCAGATATTATTTTTAATACACTGTCAATACTATATAATAGTAACAATAAAGCTTTATTTTTCCAACCGTACACAGACCCAGTACTTTTGCTTTGTACTGAATTGCCTGATTTTTTATTAAAAGTACAAAAACTCCAAAGACTGAACGAGCTGCGTGCGTAGCTTACTCGGACCTGCGCTTGCCAATTTAAAGGACGACGCGCGCTAATTTTGAAGAGGCTCCCCGCCGAGATCTTAATTACTAACCCGTACGTATCACATGCACGAGGTAATAACATGTTCTAGGAGTAATTAATTCAATATTAAAATTTTATTATTTTTACAAAATAATAACGCGTAATAAATTCGGATGCCTAGTAATGTTGAATGGAGAAAATATTATAAATTGATCTACATTTTTAATGGCATCTTCTGTCAGCTAAGGCTCGGCTATATTCATATTTCCTCAATATAATAGGTCAATTATCATGTTTTTCTCGATACACGTGTACTTGATTGCTCTCAACATCCAAACGATCGGTAATCCGTATGTCGACCTCGTTTTATAAACGGAACAAGAGCTTGAGGAAAAGAAAATACGTCTAATTAGGTCTAAGTACGTCAACTTATTATTTTACAATCTACATTCAACCTGCCCATTATTTGTATTTGCCACGTGAATTTTCAAAGTATTTAAATTACTTTATTAATTTTTTTCCTTTAACACAATGATTATTAGCTCCAATAAGATGAAAAGAATTTTTAAATTAACCGAACATTTTCCAATAATTGAAATGTTTCTCAGAGCAATTCACTAGAAATGTATAAAAGATTTCTGTTGGTTAGTTTGAAACTGGTTTTGTACATTAAATAACTCATCTGATATAAGTTGGGTTTTGAGTTTCCTGCTTTTGAGAGCTGAATGCCCGGATTAAACGTTAAAGCGTAAAATAAGATAGAATTAAATGAAAGAAAAAACACTTTACCTCACATAAAACACATACAAATTGCGTAGCTTTATTTCGAATTTCAAATTTTAAAAACCCGTACCGAAATCGAAAAGGTATCTTAGAATAGTATACTCATGTTTTGATGCAAAAAAAATACAATTATTTATGTTTCAATTTGTTTTTTTTTTGTCGTAACAACAGTGAGATGCTAAGAAGATAAGTATCTCTAAAGGAAGAATGCCTTGATTTTTATTACTAGCTCTCACAAACGCGAGATACTAAGAAATATCTGAATTGTCTACGCTGTAAGAAAAACTATTGACTATCGAGAATCGGTTTTGTATAAAAATTAATCGAACAAAATCTTTTTTCCATAACAACCATAATTTTTGGTTAATAGTTTTTTTTTTATTTCTTTAACAATAATCACGAAATTATGTATCTCAAGTTCTATGAGAATAACAATCGAAAGGCGAAAAGAGTCATAAACGATTTTACTCAACCCATCTCCAGTGAATTGTCAAATGAATGTTCAATCATTAGACAAACTATATCAAGAAAGATGACATGTTGAATTTCTCTCCATAAACTTGATAACATTATTTTATGCACTTGGATCAAAGGATGACTCATGTGACCTATAAGAGAACTAATGGGATTAATGAAGTATTAACAATGTTACAGCCGTCAAAGTCCTGTCGTCTAAGGTCACCCGTGATCGAATCTAATTACTTCCACACATGACTTGATCAAACAGTATTTGCAGATTAAACCTTTAATACAATTACTAATGAAAATAACATAAATAGTACCAAGAAGTATATTATGGTTTTTATTACTTATTCTTTTGTTTCAAAAAAGTTTGTTTTTAACAGCATATGGCGTAAAGTCTAACGACAAATTCTTACGAAATATTTTATTACGTTACGAAACATCATGTAGCAAAAATTCGTGATAAACCCTCGGTATTTATTTGTACACATATATGAACGAATGACTAGTACTTTTATTATTCTTTCGGTTTCCTCAGTGTACTTATAAAAGCACTCTTGCTTATTGTAACTTTGAAGAAGGTACGCTCTGATCTCGAAAATGACAAAGCTTGGTCCAGGCGATCTTTATGCTTTTATGGAGTTGAAATTGTTTGTTTAATTTAATGTATTGATACTTTTTTAAATACAATTTTAACATTTGAAATTATGTATTAATACGAGTAATTTCAGACAAAACCGAAAAATAAAATCCTATTTGATCTTAATTCTTGTCGGAAACATTAAACGCAATAATTTTAAGAGAAGACAAGCGATTTGTCTAAGCTGTGTGAGTATTAATCGCATGTAGTCGGCTTCTGAGACTATTAAAAATATCCATAAAATTGAGCGAGGTAACTTTATTAGCGTCGTTTGAGGTTATAGTTTCAACAGGAAATTGATTTAATAATGTTCCAGAGGCGTACTGCTCCACAATCTATTAACTCGGAATTGCATTAAAACTGTCTCTATAAACTGTAACAACTCTATGGTAAAATTTCATAAAACGTCGGCCATTTTACTAATAATGTATAATGTTCAAGTTACACTGACAAAGTGAATATGTACTGACCCTATATGAGTTTGAAATATGTATAATTTGTTAGGATCCTTTGGCAAGAATGGCGCGCTTTCTTTACCAAGTCAAATATCAGATTGATTAGAGAGGGGACACAAAAGTTTATATTTTAATAAAGCTAGTGTTGCGCCGACACACCGGCACAATGTCGGATTTTCTTCCTAATAGTCAGTAGAAGATTTTCAATGTGATTTTGTTATTCATACATTCCCGAATATAAAAGCGAGAGGAAGGCTCACTGTCGTTAAATGGAAAAGCCTCTAGCAGTGGACGACTACAGGCTGAATGGATGGATGGTAAGAACTTTGAACAAATTTAAATCACTTTGATAGGACATTATCAATTTACTTAAGAACAATAAAAAAATATTAAGGTAAAATTCAATTCCCCTTGTTCCTTGCTTTTACTTTGACAGAGTCAAATCATCTGAAAACCTTCAAAGTATAATATAAAGGAAATCTTTTATCACTAGAGCCTTTGAAGGCTTTAATCGTGATTACGTTACGTCAAAGCTGAAGAGCTATCTTTGAGCTCTAGATGCGTGTAGTTAATTTTCATAGCGTACTACTTTATAAAAATAAATTAAATTTTCTATCTAAGTACCGTGTGTTAATCTAAAAATGTCAAGAAATTTGCAATACACAATACAATACGGAATTTTAATTCAATACATTACATAAAAAAGAACTATTAATTATCTCTACAAATATACGAGTATATACACACGATAGAAGAATCAATAGCTGCTCGTTCGTCTCGCTAAAATTCGAGAACGACTGAACGGATTTACCTTATCTTGGTCTTGAAATGTTCGTGGAGGTCTAGGGAAGGTTTAAAAGGTGAGAAAAACTTCACAGAAAAACGACTGAATGGATCTGGAACATAGTCTGGAAGAACAGATAGGCTAATAATTATGTCTTTATTAATTACGCGCGGGCGGAGTCGCGGGCACAGCTAGTATTATACAATATAAAGAAATATGTTTTATTTGTAGACATGCATTTAAAATTATTAAAAACACCTGCAGTGATATGTATCTTGCGAGTGAAATTTCAATTTGTGTGTACTTTCTGCTCCTATCCTACAATATTATCTTGCCGGAGGGTTTCAAACGTGTAATGCTTTTTGTTCAGTTTCATTTCCAACAACTTTATATCCTTTACGTAAATGAAAAATGCAATTATGCTTCCGGCGAATTTTCCAGCTCCAACGAAAGTTTTTTTTAGTAAATTATTTAAGTGCCTGATGTCAAATGTCTCTTTGTTTAAATGCAAAAGCAATCTTATGTGTAGGAAACAAGTGAAATAAACGCTGGTGAATGTCATTACTTTAAAAATTAAATGATTTCCTTTCAATGGAGTGAGGTTAGTTACATATTTTTAATATTGAGAACAACGCCATCTATCTACATATCAAATAACTAGAGTAGTTGCGCAAGAGCTCGATACTGCTTGAGTTTAAAAGTGTTCTCTATTTTTAATATGAATTCATACTATTATTTGTATTTATATTTTTTGTACATCAAAATCTTAAAATAAAATTACAGTTGCTTATGGATGCCTGAAGAAATCTTTCCTACCAAAATCGATTTCCTGCAGAGTTGGCGCTGTGACGTATTTGATAAAATGTTCGTAGGATTATTTCCTTTTACAGAACGATAAGTTTTAAATAAAATATTTTATTCCGTTGATATTTTCAGTATCAAGCAACGATCTTTCAATATACATATTCTCAGAATATTCAGGAATCATCGTCTTACTATATTTTTATTTACTTTGTTACAACTAAGTCAAAACACTAACGTCTGACTATGAGTACACGTTCTTTGACTGTGAAAACCCACCGTAATAGTTAGGTAATAAAAATCAGTGTCACGTGATCGACTAAATTGACCCGATGATGTAAACTTTAATTTGTGACTAGCTTACTTCTTTTTTTTAATAGAAGGGGGGAAGTTAACCTATCCGCACTTGGCCAGCGTGGTTGACTATGGCCTAATCACCCTTAACTTAGGGTAGGCTCCGAGGCCCTCGGTGGGGACGTATAGTGACCTGATGAGAATGCGAACCCCCGGAAACCTGTTGCGGCAACACCGAGTGTTTAATAACATCTTACTTTTTACTAATATCATAAACGCGAAAATTTGAATTAATAAATAGATGTTTATTATAAAGTATCTCCAGAACGGTTGAACAGATTCCGAGGAAATTTGGCACAGATTTAGTCTGAAAAAACGCTACTAAGTTTACTTTTAATACCGCGCAGACGGAGCGCTACAGCCCCTATTCCATAGAACTACAAACTACTTTTGACGTCCAACAAAATTATACAAATATGTAACCATATAATTTATTATCATAGATAAAAAAAACTATAATTCCAATAGTACTAATACTTTTCTTTCTTTTTATTTATCTTCAAATATATTAATTAAAAGCACACTTCTTGCTAATTGTACTTCTTCCGGACACGACAGACTTTTTGCTCAATATTGATTTCGCGTCGCATTTCTCTTCCGCTTGTGCTTCAGTCAAATCTTCAATGGATATCGCTGGAGTCACAGTTGCGTTACCTTCGCAAAACTCAGACAGACCTAATGGTTGATAAATTCCAAAACGATCCTATAAATATAAATTTTACTGCAATTATTTAAAAAAAAATCAATTTTACAAAATAACAAAGCAGATAGGATACTCTTAAGATAGACTGTTTTTTTAAGATACTTAAGACACGCTAAGGTACGACAGATTTTAGGGAGATCCTTGGTCTACGCATCCAAGAACAATCATGTAGTAACTTCAACTAAAATATCGCGTCCAGTTTTTAATCTAGAATTAAAACTTTATATAATCGACAAATGAATTTAATATTACGTAGATATATTATTTGAACGTGTACACAACGACACACCATGATAAACAACATAATAATAACCAAAAAAATAATACGCAAAAGAGGATAATGGATAATGAACTAATTAGCCTTATTGCGTATGAGATACACGTGTTCCCGAAAACATTTCTCAGAAGTCTTGGAAACATGTGTCTGTAAACAATAAGTGAAATATTCCTTAGCAACAAAAACATTTTATCGAAGGATGTTTGTCGCGAAGCTTCAAGATTAATCAATAAGTTAGTCGAGACGACGAAAAATAATTGGAAGTAGAAAGCGGGTACCTTGATATTATAAAATATATATGTAAATAATTATAGTGACATCGCAGATTGATTCCAAAGTCATTTTTTTAATTTTTCTTCAATATTTTGTTACGACGCAAAAACAGTGGAAACATTTTCCACAATTTTCCAGAGAAATACTTCAAAGGGATATTACTCTTTATTTCAAAGACTTTGTGTAAAATCAACATGTATTTTACAATTCCAGTAAGAGAGTAAAGTAAGCTTCATTTCATTCGCAACGAATGCATTTAATAAAACTCAGTGGCGAAATAACATGTTTTGAAAGCTATTTCATTCCTGGAAATTCACTTTGAAGATTGAAGCAACAACGTTTTGTAATCATCGCTATGCAAGTAAAGGTCGATTAAAACACAGATTTATTTCCCTTAAAAAATCGTGTAAAATATTCATCACTTTGAGTGCAAACGGAAAAGTTCAAACGTTTCAATCTCTAACCGACTATAAAAATAACGAGGTTCTCAATTTCAATATTGATAGAGATTTATTTTAGGTGAACTGATTTCGCATATGTATGTGGAAGAGGCCAGAGAGGTGTGCCAGGACCACGCCAAATAAAAATCCTTTATCTATCTACGCTACTTGACTCACTGGTGTGTAATTTCTTGGTCAATAGATTCGAACATTTCTAAAAAAATGGCAATAAATCATATTAATGATAACCCTACTCTATGAACCGACAAAAAAAATCAGTTTGTCTAAGTGAAAAAATAATCACAGTAATTGTAGATCAGAATGCCTGGTTGTTCTTCTAATGCCCCTTCACGACTTGAGGTTGTCCTGTACCAAGTGAAAAAGTTTGTCGGCCAGGGATGGGTACCAAAAATGTTGGTATTATTTCTTATTGAAAATAGTTACCTTAGGATATCGATTATAATTATATTGCGGATGACAAATGCATGGGCGAGGTGGGGGTACTTTGTAACTCTCATGAGAAGAAGGTTCACTCTTAGGTGTCGGCGGAGTCTCATAACCTGTAACGTTTATTAAGATTTTGTAGCAATCTGGTTCTTAAGATAATTATGATCACTATAATGATAAAAGTTAAGACAGCAATTTCATGGGCTGTCTAACATTAAAATAACATCTTGAATAATTGTTTGAATTGTTAAATAAAAAAAATAGTAAATGATATAATAATCCTGGTAGCGTCTCTATGGTAGAGCGGTCCGTCATTGGATGTTCAGAAAACTTTTGAGATTTTTAAAGCTCCAATTAGATAAAATTAATAGTTGTAAAAGTAAATTAAAACCATTATCATTTCTTTCCATCTTGATTTGACAAGTGAATTAAAATTCTTAAGTACTGTCTACCTCTTTTGAATAGAATAAAACTTTTATCATTTACATTGTCACAATGACATTTAAAATATGTTAACAAATATTGTTAAAGTCTATAAAAAATATTTTATAAAATAATTATTTCGTAAAACATTTTCGATGTAAAAATTAATATTTCATTTTCAACATAAAATTGTGTTGATGTCATCGACAGATTTTTCGTTTCAATGAGGTCGTGTAACAATGTGTTAATAATTAAAACAAAATTTACTCCAAAGCGGCACCAAATGCTTTGTTCGTAAAATATGAAGCACGCTTTATGAATGTTATTCAGTTTCACAATAACCAAATATTAACTTACATTTTTGATGACATTTTTAAAATTACTTTCTCATTTTAACAAATCGAATAAACTACGTCATTTCCAAATGATTGGACTTTAAAGGAAGGGTACATAGGTGACGTAATCTAAATCTGTTTTTCGACATTCAAATGTTGTATGTCCATATTCGACTTTATGGTGTTGTAATATTATACATTGCGATACGAACTACTAATGGTCGCGAAGAAATTCCAAGATTTGTGTGAAGACAATCCGCATTAGTCCGCAAGATTGATAACGTTCTAGTCATTCCTAACAAACGGAAAACTTCAAGCGCCTCGATGGGGACATGAGCTGAAGACGATATAGACGGCTTTTTATACGGCTCAACGCGTCGCGACAGACTCCTAACAATCCAGACAGCGTGTAACATGAAGCATATCTAAACTTGTGCATATCAAAATCAGTCGTTAAAAGTTCCCAGGAGACGTGTCCCGACATAAGTTTTGCTTGAGAAACTTAAAGTTAAATGTAAATCACACTACTTATACTTGATAAGCCGTTCCATTTTAGAATAAACTTTCTCTAAAATATGATATTTTGTTTATCTAAACTGATTGACAAGAAAGGAGAATACTTCAAAGTTATCGTAATTAAAAAAAAAACAAATGTTTAGATGTATGGATGGATGTTTGTTTAAAGGTATTTTTTCCAGAACGGCTGAACGGATCTCGATGAATTGGTATACACACAGAACAAAGTCTGGAAGAAAACATGGGCTACTAAATAAGGTTGTTTTTTAATCCCGCGCGAACGAAATCGCGAGCGATAGCTAGTCGGTATATGATTGTTTACTAAAACATGTTTACCTCTAAAATTATTCATTCGACGTAAAGTTCTTTTCAATTTCTTTCTCATTCTTTTTTCCCATGCTCTTTCAGCAGCTGCAAATTTATTTTATAATTAACGATTTCGTAGAAAAAGACATCAAACTTTGATATTTAACTAACGACAAATTTACGTTACAATAAAAAATATTAAGATGTAACTAATTTCATATTATTACAACGATGTTACAGCTAATACTGACGTGGTATTAGTAAATTACAGTAAATTTTTTAGCTACCAAAAAAAATGTAACTCGTCTTACCTGTTGATTACTAAAGAAAAAAATATGCAAATGAAATATGAAAATAGAATCATTCGTGATAGACCCTCTTATACATATTTTTATAACGTTAAAAACATACTAATGAGGTTGTCCTTATACTGAATGCTAAAGATGTTAACAATGCTCATATGAAAATAGAAAATAATGAGAAGATTTAAACGATGTAGTAGATATTTTTCTCGTTGCTTTCTTATTTTCATATATCAATTCGTTTGGAGCACTCCCAGAGGTATTAATAGTTTATATTTAGAATATCAATATCAAAGAAATACTTCGCAATTTGTAAAAAAATACGTAGCATTTTATATCAAACAATTTTCTTTTATTATCACGCGCAATTTAAAAAATCTCATATTACAATCTATTAATCTAGCCAAGTAAAGATAGTCTGCTTTAGATACCGCTCTAAAATGAATTAAAAAAACTACTATCAACTTTGAAATTTAATTTTCATATCCAATTCTTAGAATATTACGAATAAGTAGAATTTCAAAAGAAAGTATGATTTACATAAATACAAAATTAAATAATTTTTTTTCACTTCTAGGACTTCTAATACCTTATGAAGCAAGAAATTAATTACTTTAATAAAAGGAAATTATAAGGTTAACGTATATCAGATCTTCTGAAGCCACTTACCAAGTTTTTCTTTTGCAATAATATCAAATTCGAACATACTGTATGCCGTAAAAAATAATTCTGCTATGTCCTCTCGTATCTCTATTACCGGTATTTCCATAGCTTCTTCAACAGCTTTTGCAAGTTCTACATAAGCGGTGTCATAGCGAAGTATATCATCATTAACATGTTGATATACAGCTTTGTCAACCGTATTCGATACAAGTGCAAACATTGTCTCCGATAATGTTGGTTCCGGTGTTGGGACAGGTTCTAGTAACATGACGTATATATTACTACTTATTAATTATTACTAATATAATAAATGCGAATGTTTAGATCGACGGATGTTTGATTGTTTGAAGGTATCTCTATAACGGCTGAACAGATCTGGATGAAATTTGCCATAATGTAGAACATAGTCCGGAAGAACACATAGGTTACTATGTTTTTTTAATTCCGCTCGGTGGTAGTCGCGGGCGACATCTAGTTATTTTATACACCAAATACTAGAATTACAAAGTATAGAAACGATCCATGTGATAAAAAAAAACAGTTACACGTGTCAAGCACTTCAAAGATTATTTAATTGACCATATTGATATGAGTTAAAATTTTTAAGTACATACATGCATAACGTAAAAACAGATACATATTTTGATTTATATCAGTATCGTATTGTATCAATAGCTCGAGTATTAGTCGCACTTAGACTACCTATTATCGAAATGGAACTCATTGTAATCGTTACTAAGGCAGAAGACTAGTTATTTTTTAATAATTTATAATCGTGGATGGACAGTATTTTTAGGTTAGCAAAGAGTCAAAATAAAGAGGTATTATATGAAAAGGTTTAAGTTTATCATAATATACCTGGTGTAGGAACAGTGGTAGTGGAAGTAACAATCGATATAAACGATGAAGATTCCGTGTTCAAATGACCAATACTTTCTTCAGGAGTTTCGTCAAATTTCGTTGGATTATGTTTTGTATATATTTTATTTAAATCAGCTTTCAAATCTTCATCTTCGTATTGAAAAACTATCCTATCTTTCTGTTAAAACATGATTTAATGCTTTGAGTAAATTTATATTATAGTAAAATAATACGAATTTATCTTTCTATAATGTGAAAATACCTGTAAATATGGTACATCTGGTAATAGTCCGAGTGAATCTCTTATTTCGTTATCAAGAACTTCAGCTGGTCTTGTAAAATACTCAGCTGCTTCTTTCAATATTTCCTTTCTCTTCCCTAAATGTATCATTTTGGTGACGAAAGAGGACATCATCGATTTTATCTTAAAAATCATAATCAGCTCACTATATGTCCCCACTGAGGTGCGGGTTAGTTGACTTTACACATTGGTTGCATAACGATGATTTCTTTCACAGTGAGAGCGTCGGATAAATGTACATATGTAAATCGAAAAACACATTGGTACATGGTGGGATTGGAACCTGCAGATTACAAGTCAAGTGCCTAAACCCCTGAGCCACCGACGCTCTAAAAATGTATTAAGTGAATTTGTAATGTTACAAACTAAAAGCAATCGAGGAATATGTGACATAGCTCTATTGCTTTGTGTTTTATCGAATCTCTAGAAATGGATTCTGCCATTGATTGAAACCGTACGACTTTGATAACTGCTCCGAATATTAATTACTGTTCAGAGGATGATTCGGTTGGATGCAACTTAATAGTAAATGGCTGTATGGACGTCTTGTACCAGACATGAATGCTCACAATGTGATCATACCTCGGGATGCATTGTCAAATATGCTTCTTGTTCCAACTGAATGGTCATTCCTAATCGTTTGATACAATCATCTTGATGCGGCGCTAATACTTCCCAGTCGTTTTCCAAAATGCCCTTTACTGTTAGATTTTGTGATGGCATACCTTTCATAACTTGTCTAAGCGGCATGATTATTAAAAATGAGGTGTTAAGAATAACCTGAATTAAAGTAAGAAGTAATTCTATTTTTACTATATTATTTCACACAAGATAAAAGAATATTATGACGTTTGCGATTGATTGATTTTGATTGTACTGTCATGATGTTTTAATTTCGGAATTTAATTAGTAAACGGCCAGTCATAACAAACTACTTTCATTATAATACTAACTGTCGCCCGCGACTCGGTCCACGTGAATATATAAAAAAACTTAATTAGTGTTCTTCCAGACTATGTTCTATACGTATGCCAAATTTATTCGAGATCCGTTCAGCCGTTTTAGAGATATCTTCAAACACCCATCCATCCATCCATCCATCCACATCACATCTATCTAAACATTCGCATTTATAATATTAGTAAGTTAAATAAAAAGCAGCTCTTCAAGGCATAAATTATTTTCGAAAAAAAGTATAAATAGTAACCTATGTCCGCCTCCTGGCTCTAAGCTACCTCCTTACCAATTTTCAGCCATATCGGTAAAGCCGTTCTTGAGTTATAAATAGTGTAACTAACACGACTTTCTTTTATATGTTATATATTAAATTCTCGTGTCACAATTTTCATTCTCATAATCCTCCGAAACGGCTTGACCGTTTCTCATGAAATTTTGTGAGCATATTGAGTAGGTCTGAGAATCGGCCAACATCGATTTTTTATCCCCCGCGGACGGAGTCGCGGGTGACAGCTAGTATATAGATAAATCTTTACTTTCACCGTGTAACCTAATCTAAAAACTATTTTTATTTCTCTATCTTTCGTTTAACATTACTCGTTAATTATGTGAAGCCCATCGATTTTATATTAAACCAGTTGAATCCGACACGCGTTGCAACGTTAATTAATTCGGCGTAACGTTAACATCCTATCAAAACCAAAGTTTCATCACAATCTGATTAATGGTGTATTATATACTAGTTGTCACCCGCAATTTCGGAATAAAAATAAAATAATGTGTTCTTTCAGACTATGTTCTGTGTTCTACATTCATGCCAAATTTTATCTTATACCTTCAAACAAACATCCATCCATCCATCTAAACATTCGCATTAATGATATTAGTACGATATGAATGGTAAACGGACATAGAATTTTTAAGTTTTTTTAACATTTATTATTATTTTTAGCATCACACTACACGATATTTTTAATAAAAACGTTGATTACTTTCTCCCGCACAACGCACCCCTCTGAATGTCATACTATTATTTGTAATACTAATCCTCTTAGAACATGCCAATAACTTGCCTCGTTTGTATTTCCCCTTCACGAATTTGTTATTTTTACAATAACACTATGGCCTAACAAATCTAAAATACTGAAGACAGATTAATATGTAAAGCACCTGTTTATTTTATCTTCAAAAACCTCAATAGCTTAATGGTTAAGGATATGGTTTTACGATCACGTGGTCGAGAGTTCGAATCCCACCATTCGAGTATTGTCGTAAACCATGTCCTAGTATACGCTTAAGGGTTAGTTGAAATATTACAAGAAATATTAGTAAATTCACAAAATACTGCTAATATATTTTATAAAAAAATACTCAGTCTTGTGGAACCTTTGTATTATAAAAAAATAGATTTCGTATATTTTATACTCAGTTTAAGAAATTTAAAAATAAATATAATTTAAAAAATCAGAGCTTAACCACGCTTTCGGTTCAACTGCTAAAACATCTTTTGAAACTACGTTAAAAAAAACATTTCGATTTATTAAATTCGAAGATTGCTATTATAGAATGATAAAATGTATGAAAACGTGATACTTAGGATGTTATCGACCTTAAAATAAGGCTTTTAAAAAGCCAAAGCGAACGTTCTCAATAGTACCTTTGCGATTTTATTTGGAACAACATGTGGGCGTGCCAGCGAGACGTGTTGCTTATATAAATATATTGACGGTTCATTTCATTGTATTTTTTTCTTGAAGTGAAATGGAAGGTTAACGATGTCGAATAAAAATGATATATTGATTTTTCATTTGAAAATTGGAATTTTAAATATATGTTTTTGTGTCTATATAAATTTTTAATAAAGATGATTTCACCTACTGTAGTAAAGAATGATGTTCCAAAAAGTACCGTTTCATTCATGTCTATATATAGTTGAGATACAATGGAACATAATACTGAGAAAAATAAACTTCATCCTATTCTAAGATTCTTCACAGCTGAAGTCACGGGATAAAGCTAGTTTTCCAATAAAAGTTTTGTATATTGTACACATCTCTAAGAGCTAGCGCCGTAAGAAGCGCCAAGAGAAAAATCTCGTGGTTTTCTACAGCTGTTGAAAGTCGAAAATACGACGTGAAATAAATATACTTCACACCCTTCCGAACAGTTTACTAAAAATCAGGTATTTGAAATTTTTTTAAAGTTCAACGACATAGTTTTGATACTTGAATTTTTATAATAGTATATACAAATATTAACAGGAATTAGCAAAGTATTATATTTAGAGTATTAAAACCTAAAAACCGAAACATAATATTATTAAACTCCAAACTTTCTATTTATATAAATATAAAATTTGTATAGCTGTTGCCTGCGACTCCGTCCGCGCGGAATTAAAAAAACATACAGACGAAATGATAACCTCCTTTTATTTGAAGTCGGATAAAAAAGACATAATAAGTAGCCTAAGCGTTCTTCCAGACGATGTTCTATATGTATGCTAAATTTCACCAAGATCCGTACAGCCATTCTGTAAATACCTTCAAACAAACATCCATCCATCGATCCATCCATCCGTCCAAACATTTATAATATTAGTAACAAAGTGAGATTTTTTATCAAATTTTTGAAACTTTATGTTAAAATCAAACGGACAATTATATTAAAGAGTCATTAGATTATATAAAATTAACGCGATGTGTAGAATATTTATATTCACGTTTGTGTCTACACTTTATCGTATCTATACGATAAAGTATTCCAAGGTATAAGCCGAGGTAGATCATTTATGAATTAATAACTACGTTTACTACTATTATGCTGAATTTGTGCAATGTGCAAAACCTTCTTGCATGTAAACGTGGGAAGGTAGATAAAACACGATCACACGAGTTATGTAAAATGTTATTATTTTCCTTTGAATCACTACAGCATTATGTGACTACGTGTAGACGATTCTGAGAAACGAAAGGATAGTACATCGGATATAATATTTTAACCTCACTAAACAACTGCTTGGGAAATCTAGACATAAGTTTTATAATGTATCATACTAGCTATCACCCGCGACTCCGTTTGCGCGAGATTAAACAAGATAGTAGCCGATTCACAAACCTACTGAGTTTGCTTATAAAATTTCATAAAAATTGCTGTCTCTAATTATTTATTGACAATGAGAAAGATAGCAATATTGTTGTAATCCGGGTAGTAAGATAGTAGCGATTCATCGGAAGTTCTAAAGTATGTATTAAAAAATATATTTTCAATAAACTTCTAAAGAATTAAAACAAGTAAGTTAATAAATTAAATCAATATTATTAGATTTGTCTCGATCAGAGTTAACAGCGTGACGATGTATTATACATTTTAAAAACGTTCAAAGCTTTTCTATTTTATTAGGGGCTCATACGTGAAATGTTCGGAGTGCCCGCCAGCCAATGGCAAGGTTGTTTCGCGACGGGTCAATAATCGTTACTTACCTTTAATATTTTATCAAACTATCTTCTCGCGTTCTCTCTTTGTGCGTAAACGAAGCTAAACTAACGTCGCTCTCGCATTATAGCAATGAATGCAAATCCAATTTTTTAAATTTTATTTGATTTTTTTTATGTTTCTAGAAATAAATAAACGTTATTATTCACATATTAACACAACACTTTTATGAACATACTAGCTGCCGCCCGGGATTCCGTCCGCGCGGAATTAAAAAACACTTAACTAGTAACCTATAGGTCTTCTTCCAGACTATGTTCTACATCTATACCAGTTTCTGCAAGACCACAGGAACCGCAGATACGTTTCCGGCCTTTGAGATGGTGATACGCTCGCTTCTTGAAGGACCCTAAGTTGTAGCGGTTTGGAAATACTGCCGAGGTCAGACCATTACACATCGCGGCTGTGCGAGGTAGAAAATTCCGCGTAAACCGCACGGTTATGGATAACCAACCATCGAGATGATTAAAAGTTTAGAGACGAATAAAGAGCAACCAGAGTTAAATTTAAGTTGATCATCATCAGCTCACTACACGTCCCCACCGAGGGGCTCGGAGCCCTAAGTTAGGGGTGACTAGGCCATACTCAACCACGTTGGGGGTTGGTTGACTTCACACATATCTTTGAATTTCTTCTCAGATCTGTGCAGGTTGCATCACGATGTTTTCCTTCACCGTAAGAACGTCGGATATATGTACATATGTAAATCGGAAATCGAAAAACACATTGGTACATGGCGGGATTCGAACCCAGACCTGCAGATTGCAAGTCAAGTGCTTGACCCCTGAGCCACCGACGCTCTTTAAGTTATTCACAGTTTAATAAGTTCCTAGTTAGCGTCCGACGGTTTAAATGACAGTAACAATTTGAGCATTTGTATCTTAATTGTTCTCTGTTGGAAACTTTTGCTACAGAGAAACTGTCAGTGAAACGAAACGTTGATGCAAACAATTGAATTGTTTTCTGTTTTTCTTTTATTCACTTGCGGTACTTTTAATTGACAAAGTAAGCAACACAATTTAATTAAAAAAAAATCAATGATTCTTTCAATCATCATCAGCTGACTGTACGTCCCCACCGAGGGGCTCGGGACCTACCCTTAGTTAAGGGTGATTAGGCCATAGTCAACCACACTGGCCAAGTCCGGGTTGGTTGACTTCACACATATCTTTGAATGATTCTTTACTTCTTCGTAATTTTTTTTCAATCTTAATAGAACACTTATAATTTGCATTTATAGAAACTTTACGATTGATTGATTCTTGACTTTATTTTAAAATCATAGCAACGAATGTCCATTAATTTATTGGAAAATCAAAGGAAATACTGGAAATTGATCAAAGGAAATTTTCAAAGAAATATAAAATTAATTAGTCAAAAGTACAATATGTGGTAGCAGTAGTTGGGCT